TACCAAAAACAGAATTTAAAATTGTGAGGGATAAATTTTTAAATAATTCTGATTCTTTAGACAAACAACACTTGGAACGCTCAGCACTGACTGCTTCTCAAATGAAACGAAGAATTGATCAGTCGAGAGAGAATCTAAAGATAGTGCGCAAGGGACAACTGAGCAGGGATACAAGCCCACTGCACAAGCAGCAGATAACATCGGACAGAGACAAAGAAAGAGCCAAAGCCCTAAAGGAATTGTTGGAAGCGAACGCCCGCTGGAACTACGAAAGAAGGGACGCGGCTAAAAATGACATCCGGAAATTAGTGGACGAGACAGGGCAACTCAATCCCGATCTCCTCTTCTCAAGGAAATGATCTACTCTTGGGAGAAGGGATTTGTAGAGGACAAAATAGAAAACCAATGCAAGTCACCAACCAAGACTATACTTCGAAAGGACCCTCTACGGAAAAGCGGACAAGCCTTAACCAGACCACTAAAGAGGAAAATTGTTTCAGAAACGGACTCAACAATTAGGACATCAGCCGGTTCGATCTATAGGAAATCGGATATAGCTCAATCAAAAACGGTACTGACGCAAGAAAACCAGCGAACCACGAGTAAAAGTCCATCGTCAGAACCTACCAAAAAGTTTAAGCGAGTCAGCTCTCCAGAACGACTAGAGGAGCTGGGATCAGAGGACGAACTTCAAGGAGAAATGGAAATCGCTGATACAATGAATCCAATAGAGCGCTTTCAGAGGAGCCAAACAATAGTCACTTCAAAGGACACAGAAGCCGGGGGAGGCCTGAATCTTGCAGTCAAAAGAGCAAAACCCAATTTGGCGGGACCAAAACCAAAGACAGAGGAAAATATCACAAACAAGCCGGAAAAGAGCGGAAAGGAAAAGAAAGGCCGAAGCAAGAAACAACAGGGGACAAATCAAGCTGCGACTGCAGCAAACTCGGAGCAAGAGAAAGCAACATCTAAGCCGGAATCAGACACAGTAGATACCAAAATTCAGTCAAGTTCTACGCCGAAAGCAAAACAGCGTCCGAAACTGAAAGGCATTGACTCTCACACTCCTCTTGAAGATATCGTGGACACATTTCACAATCGAAATTTGGCACCGTCTGAATGGGAGAAGTACGCGGACCAATTGTTAAAAAGAGGAGTGCAGCGAGTTGCGGATGAACTTCGAGAAAATCCTCAACAAAGCTCGGAACTGGACACAAACTTCGAACCACCACAAGGATTCTCGGACGAATCAAGTGCAGAAGAGTCAGGTATTAGACGAAGTTCGAGACAAACAAAAAACAAAGAACCCAAACGATTCGGAGATCCGATAAAACATTCAATCAAAGAAATATCTGAAAACCTTACAGGTAGAGGTCTTCTAAAGGAGGCACTTAGACAATACAGAAACCAACTGAGAGATTTTAAAGATCGGGACGACAGACCATTAGAATCGAAAGTGCGACGACTCGAAAGACATCTATTTATGCGAAAATTCGGATTTGCTACCTTGGATGAGGGAGTCGATTGGAACCCGAGTTGGGAAATCGAGCTGGAGGAAAACTGAAAAATACATAATCCAAATCGTCAATTACCAGAAAAAAAAAAATTTTCTTTGAACTGAGTAAATTGAACTCTTTAAATAAATTATCCTACTGATGTTGTATAATTTATTTCTTTCACCGTGGGGGGTGTGTCATACCGCTACTGCAGTAGCAGTATTTATTATACGTATGTACATCTAACCTCTGGTGCTCAATCATTATTTTATGGTATTCTCAAGGTCATACGTAAGTGTTGACACTGAGATTAAGCGAGAGATCAGAGTACTTAACAATGATCTATCTCTCAGTACATAAGAAACCAAGAAAAGAGAAAATCTAAATTCAATATTCAGAATACAGTATTGAATTACAACTTGTTTTCAATTGATATCGCTACGCATATCACACTTTTCAACTTTATTAAATTTTTTACTAGACGCTTAATTGACGCTTTATTGACTGTTTTATTCAATTCAACGCAACTTTTCCAATTGACTTCAAATTTGCAGCCCAATTTGTCTAGAAAATAATTGAACAGGAGTTTTTGCAGAGTCATTACGAGGCCAAATTGTGCTCTGGATAGGCGCACAATTTTAATGTGTAGATGTAGGTCTCTAGAATCCAGAGACAAGTCTTTAAACATGTTAAAGTTTTGTCAGAACAATCAAAGAAAACGAAAGAAGAAAAGAAGAACAAAAAGAGCATCCTTGCTGCGGAATCCGCTAACAACTCACAAAATACGCAATTTGGCCTCGAATGCTGTGCTGATAGCATGAAGAATGGTTGTATGTAATCATGTATGTTGTACTTTCTGCCAGTGCCTAAAGACATGTCCTGGAATCTCAAGCTAGGCAGTTTTTTAAGCAGGTATGTGTTCTGGCGGCTATTTAATACGTTCATCACAGCAATTAGGCAAAATATTACAGCAAAATATTACAGCCGGCAATGATGAGGTTCCAGGATTAATAATCGACTATAATGGATTTTCGTGGTCTGTCTTGGTAAAATGCTAATATAAATGATTATACCACAATCGTTAAGAATGGTTTATATTGGGTTGTAATGGATTATAGTGGATTATAATAAATAATAATGGATTATAATAGATTTTTATGATTAAAATTCCTATTTTCCAAAACCTTGAAATCAAATTTTCAAAAATTGAATGCTGAAATCACTAAATTGTGTTTTACATTTGGCTACAGCAAAAAGTTGCGTTGCTTTCTATGGTCTTTTTTCTATTTGTCTCCCCTCCCCCTGTATACTTCTCACCGACGCCCATCATGCTTGTTTTCTTCACTTACCACCACCATCCTCCCCCACACTTACCCCTTGCTTACATTTATCGTGAAAATACGTAAAAACACCTACCCCCTCCCGACCACCCTAAAATGCGCACACCCCTTCAACACACCCTATCCTAGAGATCTTTACGCGCCTTCTCCCCTTCCCCCCAAAAAACTGAAGGGGCGTGTCAAGTAGGTGCGTGGGGGAGGGGTGTGTGTGTGTGTGTGTGGGTACAATAGGTGAGAGGGGGTAGGTGGGGATTGGATAGGTTGGAAGGGGTTTGTAAGTAGGGGGAGTGGGTTTTATTTTGGTTTTTTGAAAAAACGGGAATGTTGCGGAAACCTCAGCTTACGATCTTTTAAATGAAACTACAACTAAGTCAATGCAAGAAAAAACTCGAAGACTTATCAGTCCTCGAAAAAAAATCATTGATAATAGTTATTTGACTGGTAGGAGAAAAAAGACCATTTCTCGACGAAATTGTATCAGATTTCAGAAAAAACATATTATTGAGCTCCTCTTGAGCAGTTGCGTTGATTCTTAAGTTCTTTTTTTTGTCAAAAAATTTGAGTATCGAAAAAACTTTTATCATACCATTTTCAAAGAATGGAGATCGTATGATAAACATTTTTTGTCCTAAAAAGTATTCAAGAATTTTAATGATCGAAATGATTTCAAATATTTAAAAAATCCCATTCAGTTTCATTTGAACTTCCTAAAGGCTTTTTTGAAAATTTTTTGAACAAAAATTTGTTTATCGAAAATATGCTTACAAAAAAGGAAATCGTATGACAAACGTTTTTCGTCAAAAAACAAAAAATGGGCCAATTTAATCTAACCTAATTAGAAAACAAATCAAGCTCATTTAAACTTACCAAAAAACTCTTTTTAAAGATTCTCCTGAAAAAAAATCAATGAAAAAATGCTTGTCATACAATTTTCATAAATGGAAATCCTGTGATAAGCATTTTTCCCATAGAACCTATGCATGGAACTGTATGATAATCATTTTTTTTTGTATGGAATTGTGTAATAACATTTTTTTAATATGGAGGTCAACCCGTGATGGCAACATTTTGAACATGAAAATTGATTTTAATTGATTATTATCCATGGAACTTCAGTGCGTGCGTCATGATTTTTCCGACATGAAGAAATTTTGAGCTTGGTTTTTGATTTCAGGCCCGAAATAAAGTGCTTTAAGGTGAGATCAAACACGATAGCTCTGGAGCATGAAATTGCAAGGGTATCCTCTCAAGACTACAATTTTTTTCAGCTCTGTCAGAATACAGTCAGAGCGAAAATGTTGATTTTTCGGTCATAAACCACAGAAAGACAATGCAATAAAAATAAAAAGAAAATAAAAAAAATCGAGTTTTTTTTTGTGAAAATCATCCCCCCACACGCCATATAAGTAAAAAATGATAAATTTTGCTCCTAGCTCCTAGTAGCAATCAGTAATGGTGATTAAGCGTCGTTCAACCAATTTGAAACGAATTCTAAGTTGGATTAATTCTCCGCTCACGCGTTAATAGCGCTAAATATATCGCGCGTTAGTTGTCCGAAATTGCCAAATTCGCAATTTTTAATCCCCCAAAACTTTACAAAAAATAAGCACAGGTGAAATAATTTTTCAAATTTAAGCTCAGAACAACAATACCTTTTGAATGATATAAAAAAATTCGGCTCTTTTTCCTTTTCCTCCCCACCTGCAATTTTTTTTAAGTAAGTTTGTTGACCACATTGTCCGATTGTTATGAAAATTGACATATAGACTAATTAAGCAATGACAAACATATTTGGTCTCCATAATCAACTTCGTAAAACCACTCGTTACACTAAAAAATTGAAGCTCGTCTGAGGTGGGGGGGGGGAAAGGAAAAAGAGCCAAAAATTCCGTCAAAAATGGTTAGTTTAAAAGTCGAAATTTGTCTGAGGAAAAAAACCCACCCGAGCGCAAATATTCCGTTACTTTCGCATCGAAAGTCGGAACGATAAAACTGATGTTTGTACTGTTCATTCTTATCATCACACGAGGAATTTGGATTAGCTCAAAGTGCTGATTTTCATTAGACGAAAAAAAATGTATTATTGAAACCTTAACCCGCATTATCATGCTTCATTACAAAAAAAACTCACTCTACAAGCTTGATAAAACAAGAAGTCACTTACAATTTAGCGTGCACAATAAATCAGCTGTAGTCTTCTTTTCAATAATAAGCAGTCAGTCAAAATGTGCTGTTCAAATGCAATCTCTACTAACGCGCTTTCTTATCAAATGAATTTTTGACAACCAAAAATGAAGAAACATAAGTGCTTTCCACATGCAAGCTCAAACAAATTTTTAAATTCATTTATGATTTTGTCTTCGATCAAATTATGTTCTTTGAAGATTTGAAGGGACGTGTATCACAACACCTTGAACATGCACTGTTTTTTATGCTCTCTGACATTTATCTCTTCAAACCAGGTGTGCTTCATTAGATTTTGTTTGAATTGAGGTTACCTTTGATGTGATGTCCCTCAAAACAATATTTTGTAGTCATAAAAATGAGTAGTTTTTTGTTGTTCACTCACAATAAAGCGGAATCATTTTTGCTTCAAGTTCAGTTTTGGAAAACATAAACTGTTTAACTGTTTGTCAAGACTATATCCAAGTTCTGAAGAGAAAAAAATGTAATTCAAAAACAAATGGTCAAATACATATCTCGCAGTTACCAATTCGATTCTTCTTTTTTTTAAAATTTTTTGCCACCATGAAATTTTTTTAAAAGCAAACTGGCTAAATTTGTCGCTGCATATCACTCAATTAAACAGAAAAAGAAGTTTCAAATCTTGTTATTACAAAAAGAAGCCGCCATCATATTTGTTGCTAAGTTTGTTGCAGAGGTTGCCCCTTATCGGAAAGCAATGTAAGATATTTTTCTCTGGTTCTTTCGTACTTTGTTTTATCTGAGAAAAGTATCTAGTGCCGATTGAAAGTCAGATAGAATCGATTCAACAATAGCAATTCTTCTTGAAGTGCGTTCCAGTGGTCTCCCTCCGGCGTAGAAACACTTCCAAATAAGTCAATACTGTCCAAACAAAATCACTGTAGTTTCTCAACTGACAACCCGGGTCGAGGTCCGTGACTAACTTTTCGACTTTGTCGGTCGCGGAAATTAGTCGCGGAATGGGCAAAAAATTAGTCACGCCGGTCAAAAAATTAGTCGCGGCATGGTTGAAACATTAGTCGCGGCGGTTGAAAATTTAGTCACGTCCTGGTAAAAAAAATTTGTCGCGGTGGTCAAAAACTAGGTCACACTTTCGAAAAATTAGTCTCGGCGGTCGAAAAAATAGTCGCGAAGGTCGAAAAATTAGTCGCGGTAGTCAAAAATTTAGTCGCGGTGGTTAAAAAATTAGTCGCGGAATGGTCGAAAAATTAGTCACGCCGTTCAAAAAAATAGTCGCGGCATCGTCGAAAAATAAGTCGCAGCAGTCGGCAAACTAGTCGCGGTATGGTTAATAAATTAGTCGAGGTGGTCAAAAAAATGGTCACGTCGTTCAAAAAATTAGGCTCGGCATTGTTGAAAAATAAGTCACAGCAATCGAAAAATTAGTCGCGGTTTGGTCAAAAAAATAGTCACACCGTTCAAAAAATTAATCGCGGCTTTGTTGAAAAATAGGTCGCAGCAATCGAAAAGTTAGTCGCGGTTTGGTCAAAAAAATAGTCACACCGTTCAAAAAATTAATCGCGGCGTGGTCGGAAAATACGTCGCGCTGATTTCAAACTAACATATATGCATACATAAAATACACCGGGTCGAGGTTTGGGATTTATGTTTCAACCGAGTGGGTCGATCACATGTCAAAGATCTTCCAAAAATCCAATCGAGAAGGTCCTATAGTTTAACTTAAAGTCGAAACATAAACTTAGGTCGAAAACGAAGTTGGAATATAGAGTCGAACACAAAGTCTAATCAAAGTCAAGTTGGCCCACACATAAAAACGAACACAAAACACAAGGTCCAACATAAGGTCAAAACGTGAAGTCAAACTTAATTTTACATCACAGTTGAACTCAAAGTCGGAACATGAAGTGGAGTCCGTCGAAGCAAGGTCAAACAAAAACAAAATTTCACCAAGAGTTTGATTTGATTATCGGAGTTTTTTTGCTCGCAGAACAGTATTTTAGTTGTAACTAGCAAAATAATCTAGTGCGAAAGTATGTTTACAGTTCATTTAGCTAGAATAGCATTTTCGATCGAAAACAAAGCCTCAGTTGTTTGTTTTAACTACATCAAACTTTTTTGAAACGTTTTTTTTTTCCAGTCAGTTGTACTTATTGATTTTGAACTCTCTTCAGTTCCGCCGACTGATGTTAAGTTCCCTCCAATCGTGCCGGTCGCGGTTAACTTTTCTTCAATCGCGCCGGTCCCGACCAATTTTTTGTCTATCAACCGCCGTTTTTGTCTATCAATCGGTTAATTTTTCAACCACCGCGACTAATTTTTTGACCGCCGCGACTAATTTTTTTACCATAGCGCCGCGATTAAATTTTTGATTATGGTGCGACTAGTTATTTCACCGCCGCCACCAATTTTCCTTCGGTCGCGCCGGTCGCGGTTAACTTTCGTTCTGTTGTGCCGGTCGCGGACACATTGCCTCGGTCCGCAAACTCTGGAAATACCAAAACTTGGTCGCGACCGTCTGATCATAAAACCACAACCTCGAACCGGGAAGGATTATCACTCGTTTAGAATTACCTCTATCAACTGCTACATGAAAACCTGTTCACAACCCCAACAAAGCGATTATCGGTTTGATCGGGAATGTATAAACTTCGTTCAAAGATTCAAATCAGTTGAAAGGTCGACTGCATGCTTAGGATAATGAGTGTTTCTATTTTTTTTAATTCTAATTTGTTTTTGGATTTTTTTCGGGTTTTATAAAAATCCGGTAGTCTTTTAAGACGGTTGATTATTCGCGTTATCGAATATCTTTCCCACCGGTACACGAGAGTGAACAAATTGACCATTTCTGAGTCTGGGGGGAGGGGTCGATTCCGTAGTTATGATAAGGTAAGCAACCAGGAGCAAAACAAAAACGATGTGTAACAAGCCTTCACCTGAGTCTCGTGTGAGGCTTAAGTGGAAAGTTCCTGAAATTGAAATTATTCATTTTGTATTCACTATAATCTGAGCCAAAAACAATTTCATTGATGTCGTAAACTCTTGTTTTTAATAATGAAAATGTGTTCTGATGATAATGAAACCCAGTCAAATGCTATCCGTTTTGCATGCAGGTTATACTAAATTTGTGTTGCTGAGTAGCCAGCCTGAAAGTTATATCACACTTGTTGACCCAAGTAGCACAGAATGTTCCGACGATATTCTTAAAAAATATACATTATAAAAAAAATGTTTCATTTTTTTAAATTTTTTTGTTGAGCTTTGTGTGATGAAAGGACTTAAAGAAAACCCGGATTTTGGGTATATTTCACAGTCATAATGAAAAAAGCAAATCTTGAAAGGGTGCTTAACGAAAACGAAAAATGACAAGAAACAAAAGTAAAAAGTAAAAAATTCTTCTATTAATTTCTTTGCAGAAATATGCTTTTAATTTTAGTCCAAAAAACGCGATAAAAATTCAAAAAAATTTAGTGTTAAGTCCTGTCTTATACTTCTATGATAAATCTGCTCGCTTCCTTAAATCCCATAAAGTTAGACTGAAGCTCAAAAGTTTCAAACCGGTTTTTCTCGACACAGTGACACTTTTTCGAAATAATTTTAGTGTTGTTTGAAACAAAATAGAAAAAATTTTAATAAAAATGACCACTCACCTCATTCAGATGAATAATTGCGGGAACTGATGTTGCGTGGATATCAAAAATAAAGAAAAAAACATTTAAAAAAAAGTCGAGAAAAAAATTCTCGCCATTTTCAATGAACGGAACAAAAATGAACAAAAAAAATTTTGATCGGATTTTATAACTGAAGCTGTGTTTGTGTGAATAGAACAAAGAAAGAAAAAGAAAAACAAGTACATCACACCCACTTACACAACTCCCATATACAAACGCAACGAAATCATCATTAATCAATTTTCATACGATGCAGTCGCTTTCCAGCTATCGCGAAGTAATCATTCTGGTTCGCCCAATATTCTAAAAAAAACTAAGCACACTGGCTGAGCCTACTGCAGAAAGTCAAACTCCACCAGCTATGAAGAAGCTTAAATGAGCTCACAGAAACTCAAAGAGTTCTGGAAAGGCAAATTTCTTAAGACAGCGATCTTTACTAACCTCAATTGTAACCAAGACGAGTTGAGAGATGAAACAACCGAGCTTGAGCATTGCTTGGCTCAATCCTCAACTGCTGACCACGAGCTACTTGACGATATCACCGAAGATGCAGAATCGGATCGGATATTCGATCAATGTCAGTCAAGACATCCTATCAACTCTGTTGCAACTATGCAGATTTAAACTACAAGGATTACAACAAGATTGCCGCAGATCAATCTGCCTAGCTTCAGCCGCAATTTCACTGCCTGGTTAACCTTCATTGATCAATTTCGATCAACTGTCCATGACAATGACAAGTTGTCACCGGTTCAAATGTTGATGTATCTCAAGAGTTGCTTGACGATCCATGCTTCCAAGCCCATCAGGAATTTGGAGACGACAGAAAGCAACTACGAAATAGCGCATCAAAGGCTACAGCAGAAATACGAAAACGTCAAGGCATTTGTCACAAATTGACGGTTTCACTGTAGCTCGAATCGTGAATGTGTCTCAGCTCCGTCAGCTACACTCAGTCTTCAACGAGACTTCACAGTCCATCAAGGAACTCAAATGGTCAGTAGAAATCAATTTGTGGCGTTTCCTTCTCTTCGAGAATCTCGATCCTGAATCTCAGAATGCATAAAAACTGCAACCAGAGTCAGGTCTTTAGAGGTGGATCTCATTCCACAGTCCATAAGCCAGAGCATGCGCAGCAGATGTTCTTTACAGGAGAGAACCGATCTCATGAGAATGGTTTCTCGTTACCCCAGTGTAAATCTCGAACCTGCCGAGAGCGATACCCAATTTGGCAATGTGCGAAATACAGATCGATGACAACATCTCAAAAAAAGATATTCGTGACCAATAATTGGATATGCTTCCTTTATTCGTCTGCCAGCCACGTCATCCAGCAATGTCCTTCGACATCACTGTGAAATACATGTCAAAAGCAGTACCATACAATTCTTCATGGTACTTCTAGTTAGCCCAGACCTTATCTCGCAGCGACAATAGAGGCTCTTGAAATCAACCGAG